CTGAGTATCAGAGCTGATGTTGGCACCCTTGTGGTTTCAAAGAGTTGTCTCTTTTTCCATCCTCATCCCTCCTCTGTGGATATACAATCAGAGCAATTTTGGTTATCCCCACCTTTTCCACAGGCACATGTCTCTGTTCTTTGCACTGGAAGGGGAGCTGGACCAGCTGGAGCCCAGAGGTCCATTCCAACCTAAACCAGTCTGTGATTCTTTCAAGAATCAACTCTGCAAAATCAACTCTCTGAGCATACCCAAACCCAGCAGGTTGCTGGCAAGAAACAGGGAGCTGTGCCTGCCCCAACCCCAGCTCTTTCAGGACGCAGGGCATGGACACTGGCCCACTGAGGCTGATGCCCAGCCTGAGGTCTGACGACAGAAAGCAGAAGCATGGACACCCTCCAGAGTCACCCAATGTTTTACCAGTAGTTTTTCCCCTCAGACATCCCCCTTCACCCTTGGGCCTGGGTTTCCCCAGCAAGAAACACATCCTCCAGACACCAGTTCTGCTTATGTGGTGCTTGGAGGCAAAGTGCCATCACACAGGAGGGTGGGATAGAGATGCACACAACCACATTCCCTCTCCAAATGGCTCCCTGCCATTCATGGGCACACTTGCGTCCCGTTACCAACATCTCCATCAGCCTCAAAATGGCTCAGAGCCCCCAAGACAGGATCGCATGATACCACTCAGCAGTTCTGACTGGCTGCTTTTCACGCACTTAAGCCACGGAGTTCACAACCACCAAGGTCACGATGCCTCGCTCCAGGTTTCTTTTCCGTGGTGCTTGGGTACACAAGAGCCCTCCCACCAGCTGCCAACAACAGCAGCAGGTCTCCTCGCTCCTCTCTAAAAACAGAGATATATTTTTAGCATTAAAACATAAAGCTTGTTCCACCCTCCACAGTCATCGAGGCCCAGAGGTATTTCATTCTGAAGAGGCTTGTATAGAAAATACAAAGACTCTGTGGAATGCTGTAGGAAACCCCAGAAAATGCATATTCTCTGGAAAAGGAAGGAGCTCTGAAAGCTTCAACCAAAGCGAGTGGTAGGCAGAGCCACTGAGGTTCATCTGCACAGACCATGCAATGCTTTCCCCACAAAGCCTCTCCTGAGCAGAGCAAACTCGAGCAGTTCTCGGTTCTCAACAGGACCCTGCTGTCCCTCTTTATGAATCTACTTTATGAAACAGAAACATTTCCTTGAATCTCATCTGGGAGACAGTTCAGTGCCCAGATTCCCTCCTAACACCTTACAGCTATGGAAGGATGCACACTAGAGAGGTGCTACCACCACTTTCAGGAGCAGGAGAAGCCACCACTAGCCCACAGCTCTCAAACCATTCAGTTCCAGCAGTTGCAGCAATGGACCTGTGTCCTACCACCCAGATTTGTGGCATGGCATCTTGCTGCTTTCAGCTTCATGAAGGGTTTGGCACATCAGGAAGCTTGGCCATAAGGTCTGCAGGCTCAGCTGGACGCTCTCATTCAACGAGAGCCTGGGTCAAACAACTTTAAGTGTACAAGCAAGGAGGAGCTCAAGGGGACTTGCAACTAAGCCAGAAATTTGCCTGGCTACACACAGCTACGAGGCATGTCTTTTTAAACAACATCTTTGCCATAAGCAGAGATTTCAGCAGTAAGATCCCTGTAAGTAACATGCATATGACACCTGGTGCCTCTAGTCCTTAAGTAGCTGTGTTCTCCTGGCACACTGGAGAAGACAGGGACCTGCTCCTGTTTAGAAAGTGGAAAGCTGACACAGAGAAAGAGATTCTGCAGCCTGGCCCAGAAGAGACCAGGGTTTCAAATCTGGATGTCATACGTTTACTGCTTCTACCATGAAAGCCCTTTCTCTTCTCCCTCCTGTCCACCTGCCTTCATGAGACAGAGAATTCCAGACCACCAGAACCCCAGGCAGCAAGAGACAACAAAGCTTCCTCCAAGGTTCTAAAACTTTGAAAGCCAAACAGCACTGATTTCTGCCCTTATTCCCACCTCACCCTGAGGAACACCTTCCTGTGGTCCCTCACCAAGTACAGACCAAAGTTATTTAGGAAGCACTTGCCTCCCTGTTTTGCTGCCTGGGAAGGGCTGCATTCATTCCCACAGGGGACGACCAGAGCAGGCTTGGCTGTGTGCTGCTCTAGAGCATCTGAAGCATTACCATCTCTGAAGGTGGCCACAGGCAGGGACAGAAAAATCAGCAAGAAAAGCCAGGTCTATCCCAGAACTCCTGTCTAGCCTTGAACTGACTTCTCAGTACCCCACTTCCTTCCTGTGCTACAGGATTCCAGGGATGAGGCCATTCACAGGCAGGGGCTGCCTCTCCTGAGCTGTTCTGTTGACTGACTTCATTCTTTTAAGGGAATACATTTATCAGTTACTCTCTGAAAGCCAGCCTTCCGCTGCTTCTTCACCCTGTTGTCTCACCCACCTCAACATAAGAACTGCAGGTACTTTGATGCCTGACAGCCTGGCTGATCTCAGCAGGTCTTTTGAACCCACTTCCATAATCACTGCCTAAAGCGAGTTCTTCCCACGCAATTCACTGCTCACTGAATCATGGCCAGTGATTTTCCTGTCTCCAGGAATCATGCAGCACTTTGCTGGGATGAGCTCGCTTCTCCCTTTAGCAGGGGATATGCAAAATTATCAGAAAAACCACTCCTGTCCTAACAGGACACCAGTGTTATCTGCACCAAGACCGGCAGTTCCTGTTCTTGCCCCAACATCCGCTCCCAACATCCACAAAGCCTGGTTGTTCAGGAAATTTATTTTCACATGTCAAGATTTCACTTATTTTCTCAAGCTCCTCCAAGCTACAGACTTTGAATCACGAGCAGTCTCAGCTGGCATACACAAGGCTGCAGAGACACAACCTCTTCAGTGCCCTGTGCCAGCTTTGCACTGGAAGTCCCTAAACTTCAGTACTGTGCAGAGGCAAACTGGGGCACTCATCTGTGAGGTGCTGACAACTTCCCCAGCTCTGCAAGGAACACAGGGAAGGCAGCAGTGCAGAAGGAATAACCACAGCATCGCAGACTGCTTTGGGCTGGAAGGGACCTTAAAGCTCAGCCAGTTCCAGCCCCCTGCCCCAGGCAGGGACACCTTCCACAAGACCAGGTTGCTCCAAGCCCTGTCCAACCTGGCCTTGAACACTGCCAGGGATGGGGCAGCCACAGCTTCTCTGGGAACCCTGTGTCAGTGCCTCAGCACCCTCACAGGGAAGAGCTTCTGCCTAAGAGCTCATCTCAGTCTCCCCTCTCTCATGTTAAAGCCATTCCCCCTTGGCCTGTCCCTACAGGCCCTTGTCCAAAGCCCCTCTCCAGGTTTCCTGTAGCCCCTTTAGGCACTGGAGCTGCTCTAAGGTCTCCCCTTAAGGAGCCTTCTCTTCTCCAGGCTGAACCAGCCCAGCTCTCTCAGCCTGGCTCCAGAGCAGAGCTGCTCCAGCCCTCGCAGCATCTCCATGGCCTCCTCTGGACTCGCTCCAACAGCTCCACGTCCCTCATGTGCTGTTTCCCCAGAGCTGGATCACGACTGCAGGGGGGATCTCCCCAGAGCACAGCAGAGGGGAAGAATCCCGTCCCTCTCCTGCTGCTCACACTCTGGGGATGCAGCCCAGCACAGGGGGAGGTTCTGGGCTCAAGCGCTCACTGAAGCCGGGTCACGGGGAGCTGCTCATTGACCAATGCTCCCAAGTCCTTCCTCTAATCCTGCAGGAAGGACCCAGCTCTATTTTCAGGATCACTCTAAACCAGAAGGACAAACCTCCCCAGAACAGACCACCAACCAGAACTGCAGGCCAGCCACAATGCTTGGTACACAGAGCAACAGATGTTGAAAACTGCACAAAACAACCTTTATAAATGCTTCCTGGGCATTTCTAGGAACTCAAGTCCATAACTGAGACCAAAGGCAACACCCACTTGGTTTAACACTGTTAGCAGCTGAACAAAGAAACTGAAAACAAGACTACAAAGGAGCAAAGTGTGATGGCACTTGCTTCAGTCTCCCAGAGTCATGCACCAGACCCCATGAAGCACATTCCAGGACTCGCAGCAGCAGAAAGGCAAAAAAACAGGGACTACACTACAGATACTACATGACCATCACAGCAAACACCTCCACTGGAAAGCCACAACAGCGCAGGGACACTCAGAAGCAAGCAGCTATTCCTGAAAGGCTAGCAACTCCAAACTCAAGCAGGTACAACCACCCACCAAAGCTGGAATCTACACAGAGCAGGCACCAGGCAGTGGCTCAAATATTATTAGCACACAACACAGCAGCCCCTGTAGCCAAGCCCCTGGCAGAGGGTTTTTAGATGCTTTTAACATACCTCTCAACCTGTCAGAGACTGAATGCAGGACACCAGCCCTTCAACATGAAGAACAATTCCTCACTGCAGGTGGCTGATTGGGAAGGGGCAGAGGCAATGACTTGGAATACCCCTCAGTATTCAAGGAGGGATACTGAGGGGTACAAATTGAGGAGTGGAAATTGAGGGGTGGAAACACTGAGCTCTTTTGCAGAGTAATTCTGGTGTGTTTCATTCTCCTGGACCTGGTATTCAAGAACATTTTGCTGCTTTTGCATGTTAACAGCTTCTCCTGCCCAGTTCAGAAGCTCTTGATGCTTTCACAACCCAACCTGGAGTCACAATCCTCCACCTGTGATACCTAGTGCAGTTGGGAGGTCAGAAAGAAGTGGAGCCAATGGCACACTCATTAAAAGAATGGAGATCACATTCTCAGGCAGTCACCTGCACAATTCAAGTGAGTGAGGAATAGTGGGATGAGTCCTGCAGTCTGCTCTGCATCACACAGCTTGGCATCACACGTGGAAATCTGGCTCTAGCTTTCATGAGGAGCTGCACTGAGCCTCTGGACAGAAGGACCCCACACCCAACAGGATGCAAAGCAACTCATCTCCCAGATGCACCACCCTGGATTCAATCAGAGAGGTAAGCAGGTAAGCAGGCTCCTTCCCCTCCTCCTTACCTTCGCACCCGGTGGTGTAAATGCTGATGCTGCCGTGTTATAAGGGCACTTTCCCAAACAGGGCCACTGTGACTACTCCTATACCAGCTCACGGCTGGGTGCCCGGGGTAGGGTGGGCTACTGAAGCCATGGTCCGACTCCGTCTCTGCGGCCAGCGATGAGGCAGAGCTCCCCATGGTTCCCCCTAACCCAGGCCACGCCGAGATTTATCCTAGGTTAGGTCCAAGCCAGTGGCATGGCAGTTCAGGTGGAATAGGCGAGGTGCTGCGGCATGGGCTGCTGCAAAGATCCTGACACACTGGAGAAAGGGAGGTCGGTTCTGATCAAGAGTTGAAAGAAAACAAACGAACAAAAAATAACAGAAGAGAGAGGGGAAACAAGGAAAGAAAAAGAGAAAGATAAGGTATGATTTAAGCAACAACCCTCCAGTTTTAGAAACCTATTCATGCATGCTCTGACCAGGATCCCCATCATGGGGGATGGGAAGGGCTGTTTCACTAAATCCAGTTTTTGCTGCCTGAAGATTGGGAGTACAGGGGCTCTAGAAGAGGTTCTCCCCAGTTCAACTCCCCCAGGCAGAGCAAGCAGCCCCACTAGAGGAGGAAAGCCCAGCAGAAAGCCCTTGCCACCACAGTAAAGCAGGAGAAAACGGGACAAGCAAGCCTCACCTGAAGCCCAAACCAACACCCTGGGGAGCCACACACACAGAAAGGTGATTTTATTGTGATAGCTCTGGGCTCTGACCAGCACACAGGTTTTTGTTACCCTCCGCTACAAGAGGTATGACTGGATGGCTTGTGTGTGGTCAGGATGTTTAATTTTTCTTGTACATGAAATGAAATATCCCTCTTTTCCTGCTCCCCACTACAGAAAGATTGAAACTGGGCAGACTGGGTATCTGCACCAGCATGTTTTCTGTGGCTGTTTCACACAGTGCAATGAAATAGTTCCAGCTCAAGCCAGTTTTTAGCTGATACTGAGCATGCCCCTACTCACAGGGGCAGGTACTGTTCCTCCTTTTCTCCCTCTCTTTCCTACAGTTCAGAATTTATTCTTTGAGCATCCTCAGAGTTAAATTACAGAAACATGCTGTGTCCTCCAGTATTTACAAAAGTTAAACATGTCTCTCCTTAATGGAAAAAGGCCTAGCAATCGGGATGCATGTCAGGAGGAACGGATCAAGGGAACATTTAACAGAGCAAAAAAGAAGAAACGAGGAAGAAGAAAAAACCAGCACAGCTGAGCTTATTCAATTACCCACCAGGATTTGGAGAGGTGAATGAACAGCAGACAGACATTGCGAAGAAACTACTTTGTGCCATAAAAAGGCTGAAATGAAGACTCCTTAAAATACAGCTTTTCAATCCCAGCATTGATCTAAGGGATCAAGAAAGGCCTTGACAGATAACAGACTCCCAAATGCAGCAGCTCAAGGAGCAGGTGCAGTTTTGCTATGAGCTTAATACCAGAATGTGCTTTCATTAGGCCATTAGCTCCAGAATGTCAGCTTCTCTGTCACGGTCTCTTCTCTGTAACCTGCAAAGCCTGGACTAACAAAATAAAACTGGGGAAGAAAAAGCCCAAGAACACAGATTTCCCTACCTCGATTTCCTCAGTTTAATTGGTCTGCCCAACTGCTGAGCATCAGCCAACACATCCCTACACTGTGCTTCCCGCTACCTGCCCAGCAGCAAGAGTGCAGTAATTTTTGCAGATCCAGCCAAAGAGGATCCCTGGCGCTTCCCCTCTCATTTCCTGCTATTCAAGCAGTTCATTTGTAACAAATCTGAATTTCTGGCTAAATGGAAGACATGTGATGTGAGGGGAGGAGTACTTCTAAGTACCATCAACTCGAGTCTAGCTGGAGCCATCAGTTGTCGCACACGTGTGGCTGCCCCATCACCAGCACTGTATGTGCTCCAGCAAAGGCACAGGGGATGCAACTCTGAGACCTGCTAGAAGAGCAAACACAGCCTCTCACCTCAAGGCTTGGGTTCTACTATGATAAAGTACATAAATAAAGGCAAGATGGGTAGAAACACAGCCCTGAAGAGCTCACTGTAGGCTGAGCGAAACAGAAGGCAGGATGCTCAGTTAAGAGCTTCCAGAGCTAAACTGCCAAATAAAGCAATTCCACAGGCTCTTATGAGACCACTTCCTCAAGCTGGAAAAGCAGAAGCTTTTGCCTCCTCCTCCACACGGAAACACCAGTTTTAGCTCACCACAACAAGCAAGAGGCATGCCTCCTGCCCGCATTACTGCTGGCTCCCAATGTGTTGCTTGGGTCTTGGCCCATCCTCCTCCGCCAGCTCTGCACCAGGGTCTCTGAGCTCAATGCAAATGCTCCACAGGGACAGGAGAGACTGGGAATCCTGCTTTAAAGCAGTGCAGTAAAAGCCCACAGTGGGTGGAGCTGGAGAGAGGAAGGGATCTATAAATAGGTGGAGGATAACCTAGCTAAGTCGTAGTGATCTCCAAGACTGTCTGGTCTAAGTGGGCTGCTTGGCTGAGAGTGCTGTGTGAAATCGGATTTCTCCAGGCAAAGCAGTAAATCCTTTTCTTCAGGGTGACCCCTCGCGCCAAGTGAGAGCAGCCAGTGAACAATATTTAGGGGGAATGCTGGCCCAAGAAGAGGAGAGGGCAAACCTGTTTGGAACAGGAAGAGCAGCAGCATTACAGCTCAATGCAAAGCGTGTACGTGCTCGCCATGCTGCACCAGAGAACGCCTTTGGCCAACACTAAGCAAATGAGGAGCCTGAAAGAAGGAGAGGTGAGAATGGAAACTACATTACAGTGAGGGAAGGGGTCAATTAAAGAAGCCCACAAAGAAGGCCTTTCTGGAAGCACTCACCCTTACTTTGGGAGAACTTCTCCCACTGAGCAGGGAGATGCCCCGGGAGATGTCCTACAGGCACATTGCCCAGAGCAGAACAGGGGAGGCTTCAGCTGCTGAAGGGGAACAAACTGCCAAGAGCTCCTTGGCAGGAGGGACGAGGATTTTCCTTCTAATTAATAAAGCACTGCTTCCACCTATCTAATCCGGAGAGGAAGCAACAATGTGAACAGATTGAAGTGTCTTGAGAAGGGTGGATCTCACTCATGGAAATTAACAGTTAAGCACCTTAGCAAGATGCTGAGTTTGGATTTTGGTTTTTCTGCCCCTTGCAGCTGCAATAATTACCAGGTTTCAGCTGATACTGTTTAACTGTTCCCAAAATACTGCTTCCAAAATAAACTCAGATTTGATCTTCCTACCCCCAAGCCATGTGCACATGCTTACCCTGATCTGTCATACGTGATGCAGGACCTTCCTCAAAGTGCCCCATCAGCACTCTGAGCACAGGGCACTTCAGGATGGTAAAGCTCTCACATGGAGGTTCCTCCTGCTGCTGCATGGACAGCAGAGCAGTGGCCTAGATGCTTCCAGATAAACCTTCAACAGCAGATGACAGTCTGACCCTTTGGGCCCAGCTCTTTTATCACACCACCCCAAGCAAAGCAGGCAGGAAGGGTGGGAAGCGGGGTCTGTCCAACCCCCTTTCTGTCCCTCCAGCTTCAAAGTGAGTTTTGGCTCTGAAGAGAGTAAAAAACAGAAAGAAGGGAACTATTCCATGTGTTCCATCCAGCATTATCTAGGAGGTTACAGGATCAACTTTTCTGAGGATCCTCCTAAGATCAGCCCCAAGCTCTTCCTTTTGGCACACAGCAGGAAGAGGAGACAGGTCCCTGCCTCTTGGTTTTCAGCCCTCCCAGACTCAGGGACAAGACTTTGTCAAGTCATTAATTCCTCCACTATCCCAACCTTTAAATAAGCTCACCTCTGAGCTACTCCCTTGCTCCAGGGAAAATCCAGGAATGAACACGCAGCCACCCCACACCGTAGACAGCTCTTGTTTGAGGTGGTGGGCCAGCAGCTGGCCCAGGAAAAGGCACATCATGTACCTGGGGGAAAAGCATCCCTCAAAGCTGTGCCCAGAAGTCACACAGGAGGAGGCTGCAAGTACCTTCTCCTCCCTCTGCTGTGTGAACTCCCCTGCCTGGGGGCTGGCTAAGATGGGCTGGGATCCAGTATCACCGGCAACAGCAAAAGAGGAGCTCTCTATGCTCACTTACATGCAACCTGCTGCCTTCAGGGAGAAATAAGGGTTCTTGAAGAGCTTTGAATGTCCCATCCCCACACACAGCCCTAGGGACTGCAGAATGTGACTTGCACATCCTTAAACACAAAGTAGTTCACTGAGGCAGATGAGCACAGCTGACATGGGGCATCAAGCTGGAGCAGACCACTTCATACATCATGAAGACCCTTGGCCCTCTACCAATCTTGCCACCAGGCACAGCAGAGCTCCCTACCTATCGCTGAGGGACATGTGTGAAAAGAGAGTCCCGTGTAAGTAGGGAGCAGTGTATAAAGATGGGTAAAGGGCACAGCATGAGACATGTCAGCATACAAAGGTTATAAAGCCCCAGAGGAGGCTTATATGGTATGGGATAACTAAAGAAGGATTGCTTAGTGGAGTACGGGAGGTGCGTCATGCCAACCAAGCAAGGAAAAGAAGCTCAAGCATTTGTGTGCACAGAAAATGACACACAGCCAGCCCCTAGCTCCGCACAGCAGGGCGGCCCAACCTAAGGATATGCCAAACCAGGTACCAGCAATTACCACGCAGTGCACAACTCAGATTAACCAGCCTGCAATGACCCTGGTAACAGAAGCAACCCCAGGGGAAGAAGGATGAATAATCTCTCTTCTTCCACAAGGCAGGGGGAGAAAAGCAGTCAAGCAACAAGACATCCACCTCAGGCAGATGCAATTCAAGATGTTAAACACTGACCCAACAAGAGCTCTATGGCTTCAGTGCAGCAAGAGCTCCCATGATCACCCACAAGGACCCCTGCACAAAGCAGCCAAGCAGACAGGAATGCTCCATGTTTTGCACAAAGCCGGTGTCTTGGTGACAAGAAACAAAGTTCTGCTGCTTTCTCCCCGCCTTCACCTGCCAAGCCAGCACTACAAGGCAGCCTGAGAGCTGCAGTCTGGCAGGAGATTAAGGAGTCAGCAAGTTACAGTTCCCCTGCAAAGCTTCTGGCAGAGAGAGAAGGGAAGGTCTCCAAGGACAGACTGAGGTATAGGTATAACAGGAAGGATGGGCCAGTGTCGGAACACTCAGCTGGGATGTGGGAGGCTATTTTAGCCCTCATGCTCTACCACAAAGCTTCCTGTGTGGCTCAGGGCATACTCCTGGCACTGGGAAAGTGTGCCTCACCTCCCACGGCCAGGAAGTCTCCAGGTTCACAAGGCACTCAGATGACAGGCAGTGCTGGGAGGACAGGGAACACAGAGAGAAGGGTAAAACTTGCCCACCCAAACATTTGTTATGGGGCAGCAGGGCTGAGAGCAGAGAGGGCAGTGAGATGTTATGGCCTTAGAGGAAACCTGGGAGACAGGAAGCTGCAAATGAGCTATTTACCAAATCATGTTAGAAACAAGCTTGGTGTACTGCTTGCAGAAGTATCAGCAGATGAAATGAGCTGCCTGGATTTCCAGATGGGCTATTCATGAGTTAAGAAGATAATTTAACCTGAGTCCTAGACCAGCACCAAACAGGACCTCACACTTCATGCTATGCTTTAACGAAGTCCAGAAGAGCAGCACAGCTTTCCAGCCACAGACACCAACATGCAAAGGCAAGCTTGAGGATCTTTATCTTCCTTCAGCTGCCTTGAAACTGGTTCTGGCCCAACTTTAACACAGAAGAAACTCATACACAGCAGCTGAGTTGGGCTGAAATGCAGTCAGTGACCAGCACTGACTCTTGGTAAGTATGCAGGCAGAGGAATATGCGCCCAAAGCCTGAAGTGAAAGATCGATAGGAAAAGTAGATTTATTGTAAAGCCAACTTAGCCATAGAACAACTGCCATCAAAGTCTGAAAAGTTTCCTCTTCTCCCTTGCACAGGACACTGCAGACCAGTGATAGATTATCCAGTGAACTACTGCAAATCTAGCGTAGTCACTTTGAGAGAGAGGATTACAGAGATTTGAAAGGGCCATCAACATCTTAGTTACAAGCTACAAGGAGAAAAAGAGAGAGAAGCAGTAGGCAAGAAGATTTCTTCAAAATAAGGGTTAACTTCAAACACCATCTCCATTGAAAACTGAAGAGCAGGAAGGTCCTTTTCTGAATAAGCATATAAATGGCAACAAAGGCAGTGCTGAAGAAGGGTCTGAAAAAAAAACAATAAAACCCAACCAAACCTCTAAAACCCAAACTAAGCCAATTAACATTGCTGCAACAAAGTGCAACAAGATTCTTGTATCTTCTGGTTTACCAGCTAATTGTGGCTGCCTTTGAGTGCAGTGTTAACAAAAGCCTGTGTGGGCTGGCATGGTTTGTCTCATTAGCAACATCGTGGTAATGCCACAGAAAGAAAGACAAGGGCAAGAAACAAAACAAGCCAAGCCACAGCACCCAATCTGGGGAAGCTTCACCAGCAGATCTGATTTCCAGATCTTTTCCTCCCTGTATTTAGAATCCTTGTAGCAGAGCTCTGTCATCCAACTCAGTCCACAGCCTGCCCCAGCTAGCAAATATGCCAGGCTGAAAAATCCCCTCAACATACTGCCTGCTGTGAGCAGTTTGTTATAAAACCAGGAAGCTTTTACTTGCCTGCTACCAATATCCTATAGACTGAATGGAAAGGAGCAGAAGCAGGGGTGCTTTGTCAGAAGAACACACAACACGGGACTCTTGCCAGGAAAAATGCATCTTGAGTAACACATGTGCTCTTTCTTTTTTTCCCCCAGAAAGGTTTAACTACACTCTGGGTTACCCAGCAGCAATAAAACATTTCTTTCCCCCCTTTCTCACTTACAGCAGAGTGTTGATTGGTAAACAGCAGATCTTCCTGTCTGAGGCTGTGCCAGCCTGTGCAGAACAGAACTGTTGTTATTGCACATTCACAGCTAGAGATAAACATGAATAAGAGCCACGAGTAAGAGCCAGGCACTGGCTCTTCAATACACTTCTTTATCAGGTTCACCTTGATTCAACCATTTCTGACAACATCTCTCCCTCCTGAAGGAGCAAGATGGTAAAAGCAGCAAGGACAAACTTTAAAAAAGCAGCAGCAGCACAGAAAAGGCTCTTCTGTACTCTCTACCATGCACAAACTGCGCAACTCCACCTGCATGTAAGACACTCAAAAGCACAACATGGAAATAAAGGGGCCCAGCAAAACCAAACTCCCCAAAAGAAGCAATGGGAAAACAAAGTGGCTTTCAACACACTTCTCAGGACAAATCTGCATCAAGAGCCACGACCGCTGCAGGACATAAAGGTTACAGAGAACCAGGAAAATTGCAAGTCATCTCTCATCTGCAAGATGACACTCTGCAATGGCACAGACACAATCCCAGGAAAATGGGATACTGGAAGTCAGAGGAGGGTTTCTAACCTCTCAAAGAGCAGATCTCTGGACCAGCTGCTCCAGAAGCACTGGGGAAATAAAGCACAGAGTTAGTTCCTGACCTGCACAAGATGACTGTCCTCAGCAGTAGGAAACTGGACTTGATGACCCATCAAGTTCCTTCCAATCACCCAGCAAGCTGAACTCAAGAGGGCCATAGGTGCCCAGGCATAGCACAAACAAACACGACCAAAAGGACACCAGGGATTTTATCTTCAGATCATGCTAAGCTGACAGATAAGCAGATGAAGAGCTGGCTACTGCAGCAGGGAGAGGGACAAAGTTGCAGCAAGAAGCAGAGTTGCAGCCAATGAAAACCCAGGGTACAGACTTGGAAAGCAAAGTCTCAGAGATGGCAAGAGGGGGAGATGTCCCTGAGCACGCCGTCCACACACACTCCAGCCACAGCTTTAATTCTAACACAGATTAGATAGGCAGTAAACCACGTGCAAACCACATCCAGCTGCATCCCTTGCTATAGACAGCTCCCAGTCTTCACTGCACTGTCCTGCCCAGAGTCACAGGGGCTCTTCACACAAGGGCAGCAGTACCTGGGTGTCTCCTGCCAATTTTATGCAATTTGGTCTTTCCTGGCTTTAATCAAGCACCACGTCCCAATTTCCAACCAGATGGCCTAGATCTAAAAAACTATGTCTCTGGCTGTGCCTCAGGCAAGCGCAAAGGTAGGATGAGCCTGACAGACAACAGTGGCTTTTGGCTTTTTCATCACAACCAACCAGGACGTAAAAGCAGAAGAATCACTGAGAAGTGCACAAGAGGCTGCCACCCTCCCTGAGAGCACAGGGATCTGGGAGAGCACACAGGAGGTGGGACAGGCAGAGCAAAACCCAGGGTGGGCAAGATGACAGTTCCCCTTTTAGCACAGCTCAGCGCAGTAAACTAATGGGGAAGCATCACGCTACTGCTCACCCCCCTCCACCTCCAAATCACCCCTGTAACTGTCCTGGGCCACACTGAAAAACACATGAATGCTTCTGCACACTGATCTTCGTTATTTCTGTCAGAAGATGATACTGTAATCGGAATTCATAGATGCACAGACTGGTTTGGGCTGGAAGGGACCTTAAAGCTCATCCAGTTCCAACCCCCTGCCACAGGCAGGGACACCTTCCACTAGACCAGGTTGCTCCAAGCCCCGTCCAACCTGGCCTTGAACACTGTCAGGGATGGGGCAGCCACAGCTTCTCTGGGCAACCTGTGCCAGCACCTCAGCACCCTCACAGGGAAGAACTTCTGCCTAAGAGCTCATCTCAGTCTCCCCTCTGTCAGGCCTGTCCCTACAGGCCCTTGTTCAAAGCCCCTCTCCAGGTTTCTTGCAGCCCCTTTAAGCAATGGGAGCTGCTCTAAGGTCTCCCCTTAAGGAGCCTTCTCTTCTCCAGGCTGAACCAGCCCAGCTCTCTCAGCCTCTAGCTCCAGAGCAGAGCTGCTCCAGCCCTTGTAGCATCCTCGTGGCCTCCCCTAGCTGGTGTTAACACCTGATAAAACTGAAGTGATCTGGATGTGACAGTGCCTGACACTATGATACTCCCCTTCCCTCACCAGAGCAACTCCACTGGCTCACTGTCTCCACCACAAGCAGCTCCTCTTCAGCTACACCACTACAGCTGGAACTGTAGGATGTGCTCAATTACACAACGCCTTAAGCAATATTTGCTCATGAGAGCACTTATTTGAACAAACGTAACGATCACATGAGGAAAATGCTGTATTTAAGATGAGAAGCCTGAAGTATAATACAGATGCCTTGAGTAAGAAGGTACCTTTGTTACAGCAAAGCCAGCCCTACTGGCTGTCCACCATGGCAGAGCTGGCCTCTTAACCAAGAGCTGCTGGTGGCACCCTGAACCCCAGTTAACCCAAACAAGCAGATGGAGAGATCACATCACAGGAGTCCCTCTCAAATGCCTTGCGAGATGTGTCATGCTGCCTCAGCCTCGTGGGATGCTACAGACCCCAACCTTCCCTCCAGCAGGCTCTGCTTGCTAAAGCACCTTGCACAGCAAGGTCAGGCAACAGAGCAAGGGCTTTGCACACCTGCAGTAGCATTCACGAGACACTCCAAGGCTGCATCCAAAATGATCCAAAACCAGGAATGTTACTTCACCCCTCCCACAGCTGAGAACTAGCCATGGCGCATGTCTCAACCTACCCCTGCCTGGTGACAGTCACCACTCAAAGACCACAGAGTGCTCATGGCCTGGCTTCTCTGACCCTGAACCAAGATTCCTGCAGACCTTTTGCAGCAGCTGGACACCAAAGTCACATCAAGACTCAGCTAGCCCATAAGCAGACCAGATCAGCCAACACACAGTACAGTGGTGCTCATTCCATTAATCCAAAACCGTGGCCTGGAAAAGGCCACATAAGCCTGGCTCATTTGAATGCATGGACACCACCATCAGAGGTTCTCCTTCAGTGGACACACAAGTGTAACCTGAAGGTACAAGCTCAGTCTGGCTTCCCACCACCTCGTCTTGTCTCTGCAGAGCAGGCTCTGCACCACCAGCCCGAAGCAGCCCAATCATGTAAGGTACAACAAAGTCATCTCAATGTCCCAGTCCTGGGCTGGGAACTGCCACAGCACAGTGGTGCAGGCAGAGCAAGGCAGAGGTTCTTAGATTAATCAATTTCCCTGACTTTGCACTGCTTCAAACACTCCCTGGGGCAGTCATGCAGTTTCCACATCTTAGGGCCGTGAGGTCCTGGAGGACACCACATTTTCTCTTCCACTCTTACAGTTTGTTTTTAACCATAAGAAAACCAGGGGACACCAGAATCCCCACCCATATGAGCACATGGCCTTCACCCATGGCAAGGAGAGGCAAACACTCAAAGGATTCAACACAAGGAAGACAGACAAGAACAAGGAGTGCGAGACAAGAAGCAGGGTAACAATGCTTACAGACCAGAGGAGAAAACGTCTTTTTCTTTTCAGCCCCTCCCAGCCCAGCACAGAGCCAGAAAAGCCTCTCACCCAGTAGGGTTTCTGCTCTGCAGGTCCAATGCCCGGCTGGTGTGAAGTCACCCGGGTGTTCCTGGAATGGAGCGGCTGCTGTTGGCACCAGCGGAGCGGCCAGGGTGGAGAAACATGCTAGATGGCCTCTAGCACACTGAGCCTGCTAGGAGGAGCAGCTGCTGCACCAGGCTGGGGGACAGAGAGGAAAGAGAGTCAGGTAAGAATAAATGGCTGCTCAGACCCCGGGCTGCTCAGCATAACACCAGCACACACAACCAACCTTGCATCTTTGGTCATTCGCTCAGCATCCAATTGAATGCAGCGCACCGAAGTGTCCGTGCCTCCTGCAGCATCCCGGACTGGAGCTCGGTCCCGGCGGGAGATAGGAACCAGTCTGCTTGTGGGTCAACTCCAATCCTCTCCTCGTGGTTTCAGAACCTTTGGTGTTGACTTTTTAGTTCTGTTCCCACCACTGGCCTTGCTCCCTGCTTAGCATCCTGGTAGAGCTGTCGCCATCCCAGGTAACGCAACACCTCTGGAGCACTGCAGGATCTCAACAAGGAGGATTCTGGACAGCAGCAGGACAGGATCTCCAAAGGGGTATGGATGTGAATGTAGGAATGACAGGAGGGGCACACTGCCTGAATGATCAAACATAGAAAGAGATGTTCATTACTCCACATGGCCTGGACATCATTAGCAGTTACATCCATTGGTAATTCCAAAGTACAAATTCATCTGATGATGCCAAACATGCCCATTCCAACCCTGAAAAGCACAATGCTTGAATACTTGCCTCTGCAAACCTCACTCCCCCAAGACATTTCGCCTTCCCCTTTCCTATTCTCTGCTCCTAAAACAAGGTGTTTTAACAAAATTCATACTTTGTGAAAGTGCTGTCTCCTTTGGGACAGGCTTTTATCAGATGGAGGCAACAAGAACCCTTCTCCATAACCCTCTGTCTCACCAGCACAGTCTCATTTTCTGTTTTAGATATGTGAGGGGGCAAAAAAAAAACAAATAAGGATTCAGCCAGAACAGTGTGATCACTGAGCCTCTTTGGGAGCATGGCAGAAGCATGCAGGAGGAACAGATCTGGTTCTGCCTGACCCCCTCACCCTCTCTCCCACAGCCACTTGGTCAGATGCAGCATGGTGCCCCTGGGGTAGGCTACCGTGAATTCACAAAGAGCTTTTCTCTTTCAGTGCTCTGCAAAACTGAGGCTTCCAGGCAGCAAGGAAAAGACAACCTATAGTGAGCACCTGGACACGTGCTGCTAATGGAAACAAAACAGCAAATGAAGAATCACAGAATCAGACTGGTTTGGGCTGGAAGGGACCTTAAAGCTCAGCCAGTTCCAACCCCCTGCCACGGGCAGGGACACCTTCCACTAGACCAGGTTGCTCCAAGCCCCATCCAACCTAGCCTTGAACATTGCCAGGGATGGGGCAGCCACAGCTTCTCTGGGCACCCTGTGCCAGAGCCTCAGCACCCTCACAGGGAAGAGCTTCTTCCTTATAACCTGAACTTTCCCTGTTTCAGTTTGAACCCACCACCCCTTGTCCTATTGCTACAGCCCCTTATAAAGCTTCCCTCTCTGTCATCCTTGTAGGCCCCCTTCAGATCAATGGAGAAGGCTACGGTGCAGGCAAGAGACACCACACAGGGACCAGTAAAAAAGTAAATCAGGGCTGATTAAGGTTCTAAAGAGCCATCCTGATACATCTAGCCGAAGGGTCTGCACAGCACTGGCTCCATCAGGACCTCCAAGCCTACAGCATCTCCAAGGCACTCCTGGAAAGGCTGCTGAGAGCTACAGAGGGAGTGAGACAAACACCAGAGAATGGAGAACCCACAAATGCCTACATGAGCCTGCGTGACACATCACTGCTCCTGCAGGAGATGTGCTCGCATACGCATGGGCTAGGAAGAGAAACTGCTTAACACCCAGCAGCTTAACATAAAGCCCGTGGCTGTGCTGCAGTTCCAAGGACTGCCCCAGCCCTGCCTGCTGACCCGAGTGGTGCGGGCAGGAGACTGACATGGATGAGCTGGAGAACAAGACCTTGAGCACATCAGTGCAGAGGCCTCTCTGGAGAGCAGAGCTGCCGCAGGGGGAGGACACAGCCCAGCACATAGGGACCCTTGCACCCTGTTCCCACTTCCACCAACCAGCGCAAACACAGGAGAGGGAACTTGTTACCCAGCCAGGCTGCCCGAGAGTTGGCTTCTCTGCAAGCCTGTTTTTTACAGAAGGACCTTCTGCTGTCAGAAGAACACAACACAAGCTGGGAAGCTTGGGAACAAGAAGCCGAAGGGGAAGCTTTGGTGCCACCAGAAGTGCCACTCCAGAAATGCAGCTGGGTGATATGGACAGAGGGGAAAGACAGCTTTTGTAAGGTCTTGGTCTCCATTTCACCAAAGCAAAGGTGAACTGATACCCCTAGAGCTTCGGTAAGGGCTCCAATCCCAGACTGGGCTGAGACACTAGCCTGGCCTCCGGACACCAAGCACCCACCACCCTCCTCTGTTGCTACTCATGCCCCCAGCATTCAGCTCATGCCCTGGCTGGCTACAGAAGAGGATTCACCACAGGAACAGAAAAGCCATTTCTTGTTTGATGAACACATATTAGAGTTTACACCACTGGCACAGGGCAGAGGCATGCATATGCAGAGGAACAGAGACGGTTCTAATACTGCTTTTAATGTACAAGCCTGAAGACCTGCCTTCAGTTTTTACAAATCAAACTTGATCATCTCAAGCTGGCAAAAATAGCCCCACATTCCCTCAAGTTATTTTCTTTTCAACTAGGCAGGGTACTGCACAATAGGAAATATCAGCAGTTATGTATTCAACCTCCAGAAACCCAAAGGGCCAATTCAAGCAACCCACGGTGGTTTTCCAATCCTCCCTGATCTATTTGCTGGAGTTGGAGTGAAAAGCATGCTGCCCCCGAGACATCCAGCAAACTCCACATCCCACTAATTACAGCCATATAAATGTATTATCTTGGCTGTCAAACAGGGGCTGCCTGAGCAGGATGACACTCTGCAATGTAAATGCAGGAAAACAATTGCTCTTTCTGCTGGTGGCACATTGCTTTGGATCTAACTTCCTTTCCAGGGCTCCCCCTTCTCCATCTGCCCAGGCACCAGGGCAGCAGCAAGAGGAAATGGCACACAAAACCCCTCACCTTTTAAGCCACTGAACACGAGGTGATGTTGGGAATAGCACTGGCATTTCATATCAGCCAACCTGAAAGCTGCTAATGAGGGGGAAGGGAACTGTGAAGGCAAGAGTTAAATGTGTTTCGTTTGCAGGCAACAACCCCTCTGCCTCCCTTGGCCTGCCTCAGCTGCCACTGCTAACTACAAGGCAAGCATCAGCATTCCAAATAGCAGGAATTCATTAGGAGACTACTCCTCCCTGCCCTGCTCTGAGCCGGTGGCCTGGGAAGGGCTGTGTTTGCACACAGGGTCCAACAGCTGCCAGTAAGGCTGAGGCACAGGCAGGCAAGATGCAGGAGGCTGCGGGGAGCCGGTAGGCAGCACACTGCACTCCGGAGGTGGGATTATGATGGAAAATGAGGAGGAAGCCACTGACTCACCTGTACCACCCGCACAAGCAGCCTTCCCCAGCCTGCACCAAACATGACCTTTCTCAGAGCCCCACGCCACGTTCCAGCAAATCAGCACTTCACAAGGTTCCTCCCAGCACTGCATGCTAGGAGAGAGCAGCGGGACACAGACTGCCCACGTCTCTCCTCGTGCCCTGCAGCCAGAGCCCTTCACTCCAGCCTCCCCCTGCTTCACCACAGAAAGCCACACAGATGCTGGGAGGACTGGAGCAGCTCTGCTCTGGAGACAGGCCGAGAGAGCTGGGCTGGATGAACTTTAAGGTCCCTTCTGAGCCAACCAGTCTATGACTCTTACAAATTTCAATTACAATATCATCTTCATTTCCCTCTGCAAAGCTCTGGGATTCAAAGCACAGAATAATGGGTGGAGAGCCCAGGAGAATGGTGGGGGTGTCACTGCATCTCACAAGGGCACCAGGCCCCTCCACAGGGTCATCCAGTCCTCCCGCCACTGCCAGACAGCCCCGAGCCTGGGCAGGATGCCCAATCTTCTTTACATGCAACTTTAGCAGTTTTGGGTTGGTTTCCAATATTTATTCCAACTTAGAAAACATTAAGCCTGGCCTACTCCTCAGGTTCCCTTATGCACCAAGTCATCAGGCTCAAGGAGGCTGCTTCCTTTTCTGCCAATGCAACATGGCTCAGCAAACACAGCAAGTCACATCACACCTTCAAAGGCCTCTCCAGGCCTCCAACCCCACCCGGAGAAGGGAGCACTGTTGGGTCTTGCCTTCTGCCTCTAACTGCTAAAGCCCTGGACACAAACAGGAGCTGATGCAACTTTAAATGAGTTAGTATCCCCACGTACATAAAATCACAGCAATTTTAATCATGCCTCTCTGACACATTATGCCACGGCAGCCCGTTCCTCAGGCAGAGCTCAGTCCTGCTCTGGATCACTCAGGGGCACCAGCCAGTCTGTTTGGTACTGGGGCTCAAGAAACGGCCTTGTAAAAGCCACCAGCAGTGTTGCAGGAGGCTGGTCTGTCACTCAGCTGCCCTCCCACCACAGGTCTGCTCCAGGTTAGGGAAGGCGGCAGCCTGCACAGCCCTGAAACGTAAGTCCCTGTGACAGCATGCAAAGCACGGCAAGGTCTTGGTGTTCAGATCAACGGGGGCTAAGCCTGGGATCTGCAGCCTGTCTCCACCAGCTGGGACCTGTATAGCTCATCTCCATCTCAATTCCCTTCAAACACATCTCCTGGTCTCTGACTGACCCACAGCAACACACCACCATCTCTGCCCCAATGCCCCTGGCCATGTGTAGTAAGCACTTCTCAGATAACCTTCTGTCCAACCATGAAAACCCACCCATCCGCATCCCGGCCCGAAGGCCTGTGGAGCACAGCAGCTGAGATTCCAATCCGGAAAAACGCTTGGAGGAAACAGTATGACATTTCAAACACAACGTGCACATTATTCCATCTTCCCCAGCAGTTCACCAGATGATCACCCCACAATGCTTGTCTCCTGCTGCTTGGGAGGGAAGGGATGCACCCCAGCAGCTGGCGCAGGAGGGGGAGAGGAGAGCTGCTCAGATAATGGAGAGGCTGGCCAGTGCACAGAGCCCTTCCAACCAGTTACAGACCTCTGCATCCAGGATCTAGCGGCTGACATGCCTTACAACTGCAGCTGAGCTGACATGCAGTAAAATCCAGGAGTCTTGATGAGGCACCAGGGCCCAAACAGCCTTAGGATGGTTCTGGGAGCCAAGCATAAGAGCTAGCCGCCCGGGTCTGAAGGGCAAACTCCCCAGCGCTCCAGAAACTCTGCACAAAACCCCGCTTAGCCCGCAGCAGGCAGGTTTCTAAGCTGGAGGGTAGAGTGCAGACCTGAAAGACTGCTGTGCTCCGGCCCCGGACCTGGCCCGCAGCAGCGCCGAGCCAGTTCGCTGCCATAGGGGAGGCTCCGCCGCCCGGAGGAGACCCGGACGCTCGCTCTGGCTGTGTCAAGCCCGGCGCAGGTAGGCTTGGGGCTGCAGCGCGGGGACTCGCGAACCTCCCCGGCCCCGCACGGCTGCTGCGCGGCTTGTAAATGCATTAAACTCGTCCGGGCGGAGGTACGAAGAGCTCCCCGCGGGTAGGGCACCCAAGCAGCCGCAGAGCCCCGAGGCAGCGCTGCCGGCTCTCCTGCTTGCCCCAGCACCGAAACCCCCGACATCAGCCTCCAGACCCAGCCCCCGCCGCCCCCCTTCCCGGGCTTGGGCCCACCGGCAACAGGTAGTGCGGGGCGGCCCCAGGGGGTGCCGGGGCCCACCCGGAGAGTCCGGCCGGGAGAGCGCCCACCCAGCGGCGCGGGCGGGAGTCGTGGCCCGCGGGACTGCAGTGGGAGGCCCCGGGCGGCCCGTTCCCGCCACCCCCGCGCTCCTGCCGCCCCCCGCCGCCGCTTACCTGGGGATGGAGGAGCCGCGCTGCTGCCCCACACTTTGCCCCGGGCAGAGCAACTTCCACCCGCTCCCTCCCGGCTGCTCCGCCGCCGCTTCCTCCCGCTCCGCCGCCGGCCCGGCCTGCCCCGGAGTCCCAGAACCCGCCCTTACGCCGCCGCCGTGGCGTATCGCCCCATCCCGGCCTCCGGGCGCTACGACGTGAAAGCGGCGCACAGGCCGTCGTGAATAGCGCAGGGGGACTACAAGCCCCGAGGGGCGTCGCGCGGGGAAGCGGAAGGCGGGGGCCGAGCGGGGCTGGCCGCGGGCGAGCCGGGAGCGGGGCTGAGCGACCCCCTCCCGGCGGGAGCGGAGGGGTGGCGGCAAGGCGCGGCCGGAGAACTACAGCTCCCAGCGTGCTTTGCGGCGGCGGGGTTGTCACTGGACCGGGGTCGGGGCAGGGGCCGAGGGCGGTGCTTCCCCGGTGCGCAGGCCCGAGCCGCGGCCCGCAGCTGCCCGGCGCTGGCGTGGCGGAGGAGTGCGGGTACGGGTGGGCAGCACCGCGCGTCCGTCAAGGCGACGGCAGCTCCCCGAGCCCCGGCGGAGAAGGCACCCGCGTGAGGAGATGGATGAGCCGGGGTGGGGCGGCCCCGGCGCAGGAAGCAGAGCCCCGGGCTGCGCGGCCCTGCCCGGCGCACCCGGCTAATTACAGTAATGAGCTGGCAGCGCTTGGAGCGCGCCGGCGCTGTCCCGGAGTTGTCTCAGCCCTCGGGCGCTGTGCAGCCGGGCTCGGGAACAGCAGCCGTGCAGCGGGGAGAGCACAACGGGGCCTGGGCGGCCCTCGGAGCGCTGCCCCGCGAACACAGCCCCCGGTGCTGCTGCTGCGCGTCCGTCGGCTGCAGATCACAGCCCTCGCTCGCTTCAAGTTCACGGGCGTGAGCAGCTCCCGTGACCCGGTTCAGTGAGGGCTTGAGCCCAGAACTCCCCATGTGCTGAGCTGCATCCCCAGAGCGTGAGCAGCCGGTTGAGGGCGGAGATCCCCCCCCTCTGCTGCGCCCTGGGGAGACACCTCCCCCCGCAGTCCTGATCCAGCTCTGGGGAAACAACAGGAGGGACGTGGAGCTGTTGGAGCGAGTCCAGAGGAGGCCAGGGGGATGCTGCAAGGGCTGGAGCAGCTCTGCTCTGGAGCCAGGCTGAGAGAGCTGGGCTGGTTCAGCCTGGAGAAGAGAAGGCTCCTTAAGGGGAGACCTTAGAGCAGCTTCCAGTACCTAAAGGGGCTACAAGAAACCTGGAGAGGGGCTTTGGACAAGGGTCTGTAGGGACAGGACAAGGGGGAATGGCTTTAACCTGACAGAGGGGAGACTGAGATGAGCTCTTAGGCAGAAGCTCTTCCCCGTGAGGGTGCTGAGGCGCTGGCACAGGGTGCCCAGAGAAGCTGTGGCTGCCCCATCCCTGGCAGTGTTCAAGGCCAGGTTGGACACAGGGGCTTGGAGCAACTTGGACTGGTGGAAGGTGTCCCTGCCTGTGGCAGGGGGTTGGGACTGGGTGAGCTTTTAAGGTCCCTTCCAACCCAGACCAATCTATATGGAATCCCAACCCACCCCCTGCCAGACTCACCTGTTCAAGCAGCACCTTCAAACCCTCCCACCCTACTGAGAAGTGGAGCAGTTGGTGCAGTACTGCCGAGCTCGGGGTGCAGGGGCACTCCCCTCCCTCTGTTACAAGTGAATACAGGGAGCACAACCCCAGATGTGGGGCAGCCAGGCCAGGCTGGCACACAGAGATGGGAAATAAATGGTTGTCAGGCTCTCTGTGCGGGGAGCTGTGATAGCCACACATTGTGAGACCCATCAGTCCTCTGTAAAGATAACATGGGGACCCTTGTTCTTAAGGGTGGACCAGAGGAAGAGCCATCCCCCACTGCCCCCTGGGTTGAAGAGATCCTAAGGCTCAGTGCTCTCCCAGCCTGTGCCTGTGAGTAGCTCTAGGCAGGTGTGCTGGAGCTGGATGGATGGGTGCATTTCCACAATGATGTCCAAGACCTGTCATCATCTCAACTACCAAGCTTCTGACACACTTGGACACCATTTGGTGCCTGCACATTGGCACCGCTGCCACGTGTAGTACCCTGGGGTGTCCGAGATGTCCATGCAAGCCCACCACATGAGACATCTTCATCCTTAAGGAACAGCACTTGGAGACAAAGATCCTCAAAGCACCTAAAATGTCTCTTCATATGTGTGGGCAACTGAATTACAGAATCATAGAATAGTTAGGGTTGGAAAGGACCTTAAGATCATCTAGTTCCAACCCCCCTGGCCAGGGGCAGGGACACCTCACACAAAACCATGCCACCGAAGGCTCTGTCCAACCTGGTATTGAACACTGCCAGGGATGGAGCATTCACAACCTCCCTGGGCAATCCATTCCAGTGCCCCACCACCCTAACAGGAAAGAATTTCCTCCTTATATCCAATCTAAACTTCCCCTGTTTAAGTTTTAACCCATTACCCCTTGTCCTGTCACTGCAGTCCCTAATGGAGAGTCCCTCCCGAGCATCCCTATAGGTCCCCTTCAGATACTGGAAGGCCGCTAGGAGGTCTCCACGCAGCCTTCTCTTCTCCAGGCTGAACAGCCCCAACTTTCTCAGCCTGTCTTCATACGGGAGGTGCTCCAGTCCCCTGATCACCCTCGTGGTCCTTCTCTGGACTTGTTCCAACAGTTCCATGTCCTTTTAATGTTGAGGACACCAGAACTGCACACAATACTCCAGGTGAGGTCTCACAAGAGCAGAGTAGAGGGGCAGGATCACCCCCTTCGACCTGCTGGTCACAGAATCACAGAATCCCAAGGGTTGGAAGGGACCTCAGAAGATCATCTAGTCCAACCCCCCTGAAAGAGCAGGGTAACCTAGAGTACATCACACAGGAACTTGTCCAGGCAGGCCTTGAATATCTCCAACGTAGGAGACTCCACAACCCCCCTGGGCAACCTGTTCCAGTGCTCTGTCACTCTCACAGTAAAGAAATTTTTCCTGATGTTCACGTGGAACCTCCTATGCTCCAGTTTACACCCATTGCCCCTTGTCCTGTCACTGGACATCACTGAAAAAACCTAGCTCCATCATCCTTTTGATGCAGCCCAGGATACGGTTGGCTTTCTGGGCTGCAAGCGCACACTGCCTGCTCATGTTCATTTTCTCATCAACCAACACCCCCAAGTCCTTCTCCGCAGGGCTGCTCTGAATCTCTTCTCTGCCCAACCTGTAGCCGTGCCTGGGATTGCTCCGATCCAGGTGTAGGACCTTGCACTTGGCATGGTTAAACTTCATCAGCCCACCTTGCAAGTGTGTCAAGGTCCCTCTGGATGGCATTACTTCCCTCCAGCGTACCGAGTGAACCACACAGCTTGGTGTCATCGGCAAACTTGCTGAGGGCGCACTCAATCCCACTGTCCATGTCAGCGACAAAGATGTTAAACAAGACCGGTCCCAACACCGATCCCTGAGGGACACCACTCGTTACTGGTCTCCAGCCATTGACCACAACTCTTTGTGTGCGGCCAGCCAGCCAGCTCCTTATCCACCGAGTGGTCCATCCATTAAATTGATGTCCCTCCAATTTAGAGACAAGGATGTCGTGTGGGACAGTGTCGAACGCTTTACACAAGTCCAGGGAGATGACATCAACTGCTCTACCCCTGTCCATCAGTTCTGTAGCCCCATCATAGAAGGCCACCAAGTTGGTCAGGCAGGATTTCCCCTCAGTGAAGCCATGCTGGCTGTCACCAAGCACCTTGTTGATTTTCATGTGCCTAAACATGCCTTCCAGGAGAATCTGCTCCAAGATTTTGCCAGGCAGAGAAGTGAGATTGACTGGTCTGTAATTCCCCGGGTCATCCAAGCCCCTTTTGTCATGCATGATTATTAATGGAGGTGTAAGAAGCATCACTGCGTAGCAGGGAGTGAAGAAGGCATTGGTGGAGTCACTGCATGCTCAGTGGGAGGTTCAACACTGTACCTACATGGCCTGGAACAACCTGCTGCTGCTGTCATCAGCTCTTCTGGTGTGACAGGGGAGTTCCCGGATGGAATTACCTTATCAGCATGTCTCTCTCTGGAGAATAAATGGATAAACCTAACTTCACCCAGGTACAAAGCAATTTCAAGCAGTGGCTGAATTCCAGCTGTTGGGAATTCACATGAACTGCGGTTCACATCTCCTAATTTTAGGTGTATAAACTGAGGCATGTAAATTGTACCCTCACATCTTCATCTGTGAGCAGTGGAGCAAGAGGGAGGGTTCCACTCACTCCAGGTAACTTCCTGTTTGTGTCATTGATTATAAATAGAAACATTCACCAGCGCAGCAGAGCATCAATAATTCAGGGAAGTGCATTTGGGTAAGCAATGTCTGAGTAGCACTGAAAGCCTCAAGGGAGGCAAGTCAGGGTCATCCCCTGCTCTGCCCTGACCAAACCTTATCACATTATCACCAGAGCCATCACATTTTTTAGACATGGTTCCCCATCTCCTCCTTCTGGAAGGACTCACTCCATGGGTTTCCAGGGGACTGAAGTGAGGCCGTCTGCCCTGTTGCTGCCTGTGTCACCCCAAGCCTCTTTATGACAGTGCAACTTGCTTCCCTCCAGGCACAAAGGCTCTCCTGGTCACCATGACTTGTCAAAGCTGACAGAGCAGCTCTGCAAGAGCATCAGCCAGTTCCCCCAGTGCCCCAGGCTGCAGCACTGCAAGCCCCATAGTCAAGATCCAACAAGCAATTACCACATGGATCCTCAGAGCTTCCCCTGTATGTCAGTGCAGACACAGGCTCTGTATCCTCAGCATCTCTTCCTCTGGTAAAGGAGTATACCAGGGATATTGTGTGGGGTGGGAGGAACTGGGAGCCGAGCAGGAGCAGAGGCAGCTCGCCCAGCATGAAGGACGGGCTTCCCAGTGGTGACAAGGACCAGAGGACACATGGGGAGGCTTCTCAGCCAAGTTCCTGCTCAAGGTGCATCAGGTGGGAGGGAGGAAGGGCTCCCAGTCCTCATTCCCCCCCGACACCAAGCTTGGCATGGGCACTTCCCCTCATCCTTACCCCAGCTCAGGACTGGCCAGTGGCTCTTTCCTGGTACCTGCCCTCAACCCTCTCATTTGCAGCCTGAGGAACAAAGAGGTCCCCAGCAGCTCTCCCAAGGGCTGGGCAGAAAGTCATGGCCCAGGTGCACCACCTCTGAGGGAGAAGGTCATCCACCATCTCTTTCGGCTGCTTGGAGTCTTTTTGACTCTTGACTAGATATTATATATA